GCTCATGGCACAGAGTCTTCTAAGCGGTGCCCTTTCTTCCTCAAACCTCCACCTCAAATGAGCATAAAAGGGTGACCAACAGGTATGGCCCTGTCCAGTACTGCCTCGGGTTTGGCCTAATGGGTCCCCTGTCTGTGAATCCCTCCGTCCTGAGAAAACTGAAATTATTGATGACCTAGAAAAAGGGGTCATTTCCAAATTAACATCAATGTTAGAGCCAGAAGCCCATAATCTTAGCTCCCAGGATTTCCAGGTGAGTAAGAGCTAGACCATGATTGTGAAACCACAGGGTACCAGCCAGAAGTACCAGACGCCTGCCTACCTGGATGCTTGGCTCCTTAGGTCATACCAGCTGGGGGAGGGGTGTCCACAATTTGCCTTAAACATGGAAAGAAACTATGGTAATGTATGTGTGAGTACATGTCTTTGCATGTGTGCATGGGGGCAGGGGGGTTGAAATGTCTGTGCAGGCCAGGCAAGTACTCTACTTCAAGCTGTATGCCCAGCCTCCTGAGGTGATTTTGCTTGGTGGTGAGAGCTGATAAGAAGCTGCACCACCGGAGGGTGAGTGCCACCTCAAGCTGAGCTAAAACTAGACCTCTTCTTTAATTTTAGAAAGAGTTGCAGATCGGGCAGCTCCCGCCTTCAGGCAACCTCCTACGTCCTCCCACAAACACTTGATTTCTGAGTTTGGAACAATCTCATGGCCCCCAAACCTAGTCTCAGAGACACAGTTACCTCCCACCCTTTCCCAGGGTGTGTGTGCACGCATGCTCACACACGAGCGAGCGAGCGCGTGCGCGCGCGCGCGCACACACACACACACACACACACATTTCCATGCCCAGAGTTCAGTTCTACTGGGCAGTGAGGTGGGCATGGGACCACAGAGGAGAGCATAAGACATAGTGAGTCTAGAGCCCTAGTACTGCTCTTAGTAACTCAGGACAGAGAAACAGGCCCTGAGAGGGGCAGAGTTGGGGTCCAAGCTCAGCTGCCCTGCTTTAGAGCCTGCTGAATTCTTATCCTCCCACTTCAGGGCTCTTTCTGCAGACCGTGGTGAATCACACCCACCTGGACCATAGCTATTTAAGGGAGGCCAGCCGCCTACTGATGAGGGGTGTCTGCCCTTCACTGCCTGGTTGAAACAGATAGAAGGACCTACAAGCTACCCAAATCCTTTTTACTAACCAACCTCAGCACGGTACTAGGTCTATTCTCTGTTCGCATCAGGAGTGGCCAAGCTCTGCCCCCATCTTACCTAATCTGGAAAATTCTATGTTTGGAAAGTTTCATTCTTTTCCCAGCCATCCCTGCAGAGCTCTGAAGACTGCTTTCGGGTCCCAGAGTTTGGAAGGAAGGGACGAGCGAATACTCAGTGTAGTTGGCCCCTGGAGCCTGAACTCAGAAGCCCCAGGTGGTACAGCAGCAAAAGCAGGTTTCCGTGGAAACAAGAGTCCAGGACTTGAATCTAAATGCACCTCAGCTGCTCTGAAGCAGCCTGTGTGGCTCATACCTCCGCAAGCGGTCCCTGACCATCTATCTGTACCTGGAGGCAACTCTCCCCACTAGGAGGCCTGGTCCATGGAGCTGGTCCAGGCTGACCATTGCTCATAGTACCAAGACTTAGTGAGAGGATCCATTTAACAAACCAATTGGACAGGAAGAAAATCCAAAGAAGATTAGTGTTGAGTCCCCCAGCTGGTTCACAGGAGATAGGGGTTAGATCCAACTCCAGGTCCCTCCACCCTCCACTCACAAACACTCGCACTGCTCACAGAAAGCCATGTCACCTCTCTATAAAGTCCTCCCACTGCTCCCTGCCGGGCCCACAGCACATGTCACCTTCCCAAACTTCCTTTTTACCTGCTCTGTTTGTTTACAGATGGGAAACAGGTTTTATGTCTTCTCAAGAACTCCCAGGACAACCATCTCTCCACTGAACTCTGCATCATGCCTTTCACAGGCTGTCACAGGAGCCTCCAGAGCCCTTTCCCTTTCTAGTCAGAAGACAGTTCTGGGGTCCCCTCTGGATCAATGACTCAAACAAGGGAGTGAGGAAGTGTTTATGCCCTGTCCTGTTGCCTCATACTCAGATCAAGGGAGTCCTCCAGCTGCCTCTACTTCCCTTCCCAGAGGGTCCAAGCCCTGGCCTGCCTTCCAGAACATTCACAGGTCTTAAGAGAGTTTTGCCACTTGCAAAGAACCTGGAGTCCTAAAATGGGAGTTGTCTGTAACTAGACAGAATGAAGCGGGGAGGACCAAGAATGAGGTTCAGGAGGCCCTGCAAGCAGCCAGTGGACCTAGAGGAAGGATCTCCCTTCCCAGGCCTGTTCCTGGTCTGCTAAAGAGGGACAGAGACTAGAACCTCTCCAGCTTGACAGTCCAGCCATCTTTATGTAATTAATAGTTCAGCTGACTAAGGCCGTCAGTGGAAACCAGACAGAGAAAGAAGGTTAAAAACAAAAGAGGTTATGTTGGCATTCACACAGTGTACACACCCAGGCCTGGTCCACAATAAAGAGTCTCTTAAAACTGGGGCAGACCCAGCCAAGATCTGATCTTTACCATTGAAGCCAAGGGGAACCTGAGCTCTTCCCAGGGGCTTTGGCTAGAAAGAACTGGGGTGGGCCTGACAGGGAGGGGCCTGCACAGAACCTTGAGGCCAACTCTGGTCTCCATGGGATTAGACCCAACAAAAGAGCCTTGTGCAGTGAGGAGCCCAGTGCCTGGTTTCCTGTGCTTTGGTAACCCACACAGAACAGCATATGATGTGATCTGGACATAGTAACTGTCCTTCCCATTATGCTCTGGGCCTCTCTTGGCTGGCACTCAAGTCCCAGCTGTGTCTATGGCCTGTGCCCAGTCTGACCCATCACAGAGCAGTGAGAAAGACTTGATGGCTCTCAGGAACTCTCAGAAGGCTGGCATGCCTCTGGGGGCTTCTGGAATAATCCCCACTTGTATAAAATTTCAAAGTTTTCTTTCTTTTCCAGATTCTGGGCTGAAACTCAACCTCAGCACTTAAAGCAACAACAGAAAACCTCCATCCTCTTTCCTCCACAGCACGCAGGAACAAGAGCCTCACAGTCTGGAGTCTCTGTGAAAGAAACATGGAACCAAGTGCTGAGTATGGAGGCCAAGGGCTGACCTGAGCCTCTGGCTGGCAAACCAGGCCTGGGCTGGTTCTGACTGGTGGTAAGTTAGCAAGCACCAGGAAACAATGTTCCATAGCTTCCAAAACCTGCAAGCATCCATGGCTATAAAGTCTTATGCTAAACCACCTTCAAAGCACTTCATGGAGAGTAATTTAGTCCCTGTTATCATTGCCTTTAAAAAAAACAAACAAACTAGGTGGATATGGGAACAACTGCATGAATGTATCCCACACACGTGCAGGGTACCTGGGAGGCTAGAAATGGGTGTTGGATCCCCTGGAGCTGGAGTGAAGCTAGTATGAAGCACCCCACGCAGGTGCTGGAAACAGAACTCAGGTCCTCTGGGTGAGCACCAATCATTCTTAACTGCTGAGCTATTCCTCTAGCCCTTCCTGCCCTATACACACACGCCTTTTTGTGACAGGTTTTCCTGTAACCCAGGGTGCCTCTATAACCTTGAAGATATGACCTTTCTGCCTCCATCCTCCTAGCGCGCTAGAATTACAGATGTGCCAACTCTGCCAGGTTTATGCTTAGGATTGAACACAGGGCACTATGCTACTTCCTCAGCGCTGACCCCTTTCCTCCCCCAATTTGTGGCTTCTTGAAACAGAATGTCATGTAACCCAGAACAGCCTAAAATTCATCAAGTTGCCCAGGATGACCTTGAACTTCTGCTTCTCCAGCCTTTACTGCCCTAGCACTGAGGCTGCAATTCCGCACCACCACGTTCTGCATTTTGCTCCGTGTAATTAGTGAGAAAAATCAACACGTGGGGGAGGTTGCGCTGCCCCTGCAAGGAATGGGAGTGGAGAGTCGGCAAGAGCTGGTTCTGGGGCTCACTGGGAGCCATCATCACTGTGAGAACAGAGAGAATGGCCGCAAAAGGGCAACAGGAGGGAGGCAGGGATCCAGCCCTGTCGGAAGATGCCCCCAAGAGACAGGGTTCAGACCCTGGAACAGGCAAGCCCTACAGGAAGGGTAGGGTACATAAGGCCTAGCCCAGGATTCCAGAGCTCTCTCTTGTGGGAAGGAAAGCATCCTGGCCCTAAGTGGTGGACAGTGGGGCTGTGGAGGATGCCAGCCCTATGGACAAACTGTATATAACTGGTGGAAAGGTAGCGTTCCCAGTACATTCCCAGGCCCAGCCTGCCCTCTGCTGGTCAAAACAGAGGACATTAAAAAGTCGGCAAAGGTGGTCTTTGAGGGGCTCAGACAACTCAATTTGAGAGGTTGTGTGCTGTGTAAATTTGTGTCATCCATTCCAGATACTCAGTGACCCAGAACAGCCTAAAATTCAGTTGTTTCTTTTCTGTCCATTTGCCAATGAAATCACTGCATGAAAGGAACTAAAGGTGTAGAATATTCTAGTCACATCTGGGGGTAGAAAGATGAGTGTCAAAGGCCAGGGGTAAATGAGCTGGACTTCAGGGCCCCTCCCCCCTGGTGTTTTTGAGGTCCATTCAAGTCACATGGAAATAAACTTGTGACTACCTCAGAAGACTGCCCTTCGGCCCTGGGTCAGCAGAGCCGTGGTGAGGGCCCTTGGACATAGGGTGGGACTTGGGATCCAGAGGTTGCTTGGAGTATGACTCTCAAGACATAAATGCCAAAAATATTTAACTGAAACCTCACTGAGCCTCAAGCAATCTTAGCTAGTTTAGCTGGCATGCGTCGCTTTTCTGTTGGTAGCTCCTCAGAAGATCATGAGGCCAACTGTGTGTGTCTTTCCAAACTTAGTCACTAACAGAATCCCAGCTGGCTCTCTGCCAGCTTCTGGTGCCATGTTGCCAGCTGATGGCCAGGACCCTGGGTTTCTAGCTAAAGCAAGAATGAATGTTCGTGCTCGCTACAACAGCACATATACTAAAATTGGAACAATACAGAGAAGATTAGCATGGCCCCTGTGCAAGGATGATACGCAAATTCGTGAAGCGTTCCATGTTTTTCAGATCATCTGGATGTATCTCCATCCCTGATCTCAAGCTGTACTACAGAGCAATAGTAATAAAAACAGCATGGTATTGGCACAGAAACAGAAAAGAGGATCAATGGAACCGAATAGAAGACCCAGAAATAAACCCACACACCTATGAATACTTGATTTTTTACAAAAAAGCCAAAACCATTCAATGGAAAAAAGACACCATCTTCAACAAATGGTGCTGGTCCAGTTGGATGTCTACATACAGAAAAATGAAAATAGATCCATATTTATCACCCTGCACAAAACTAAAGTCCAAGTGGAGCAAAGACCTCAACATAAAACCAGATACTCTAAATCAGTTAGAAGAAAAAGTTGGGAACAGCCTAGAACTCATTGGCACAGGAGACAGCTTTCTGAACAGAACACCAACAGCACAGGCTCTAAGAGCAACAATCAATAAATGGGACCTCATGAAACTGAAAAGCTTCTGTAAAGCAAAAGACACCGTCATCAGAACAAAACAACAGCTTACAGACTGGGAAAGGATCTTCAACAACCCTGTATCTGACAAAGGGCTGATATCCAGAATATATAAAGAACTAAAGAAGTTAAAAAGCAATAAATCAAGTGATCCAATTTAAAAAAATGGGGAACAGAGCTAAACAGAGAATTCTCTGAAGAATATAGAATGGCAGAGAAACACTTAAAGAGATGTTCAACGTCCTTAGCCATCAGAGAGATGCAAATCAAAACGACCCTGAGATTTCACCTTACACCCATCAAAATGGCTAAAATAAAAAACTCAAATGACAACACATGCTGGAGAGGATATGGAGAAAGGGGAACCCTCCTCCGTTGCTGGTGGGAATGTAAACTGGTACAACCGCTTTGGAAATCAATCTGGCGCTTTCTCAGACAATTAGGAATAGCACTTCCTCAAGATCCAGCTATACCACTCTTAGGCATATATCCAAACGTTGCTCAAGTGCACAACAAGGACATTTGCTCAACCATGTTCGTAGCAGCTTTATTTGTAATAGCCAGAACCTGGAAACAACCCAGATGTCCATCAATGGAGGAATGGATACAGAACTTGTGGTATTTTTACACAATGGAATACTACTCAGCAATCAAAAATGAGGAAATCATGAAATTTGCAAGCAAATGGTGGGATCTAAAAAAGATCATTTTGAGTGAGGTATCTCAGAAGGAGAAAGACACACATGGTATATACTCACTTATATAGACCTATAAGATATGATAAACATAATGAAATCTATACACTTAAAGAAGATAAACAAGAAAGAAGACCCGGGGTACGATGATCAATCCTCACTTAGAAAGACAAATGGGATGGGCATTGGATGTAGGAGAAGACAAGTAACAGGACAGGAGCCTAGCACAGAGGGTCTCTGAAAGACTCTACCTAGCAGTGTATCAAAGCAGATACTAAGACTCATAACCAAACCTTCGGCAGAGTGCAGGGAACCATATGAAAGAAGGGGAGTTAATATGACATGGAGAGAATAGGAGCTCCACAAGGACCAAATATATCTGGGCACAGAGGTCTTTATATGAGACTGTTTTCTCCAACCAAGGACCATGTATGGATATAACCTAGAACCTCTGCTCGGATGTAGCCCGTGTTAGCTCAGTAACCAAGTGAGTTTCCCTAGTAAGGGAAACAGGGACTATCTCTGACAGGAACTCAATGGTAGGCTCTTTGAACACCCCCACACACACACACGGGAGGAGCAGCCTTGCTAGGCCACAGAGGAGGACTTTGCAGCCAGTCCTGAAAATACATCATAAAACATGGTCAGATGAAAGGGGAGGGGGTCTTCCCCAATCAGTGGACTTGGAAAAGGGCAGGGAGGAGAAAAGAGAGGAAGGGTGGGATTGGGAGGGAATGAGGGAGCGGGATACAGCAGGGATACAGAGTTAATAAAATGTAACTAATAAAAAAAAGAATGAATGTCCAGGTCTCAAGCTGGGTAGGTACTATGTTCTTCCAGCTGGACTTAACTTGTAAAACAAGCCCTCCCATTGCCCTCATACCAGTTTTATGAGCCCTTGGGGATGGCCCTGATCTTTGAGAGGTGATTGGATCGTTAACGCTGTGACTTCATCCCATTACCAGGGGTCACTGTGGGGTCCTAGAGTTCCCATGTTCTTGGAGCCTGTTCAAAGAATTTTAAAACAGGAAGACTTCAGAGCGGTGAAGGAATTTGACTGAGAAACAAAGCAGCAGCGAAGAGTGGATGCAAGTGAGCAGCAGGCTCCTTGAGCTATGGTACTATACAGCTTTAGTTATTGCTTGGGACTTTTTTTACAGGGTCCAGATGGAGGAGGAGTTAGTTTACTAAGATGCACACCATGGATAGATTCCCTATTTGGATTGGCAGCTTTGAATTCTGTGTCCCTTAGCTACCTGTGAGCAGCCTTTCCCTCGATGCATCTGATTTTAACCTTATGCATACCCAGCAATGCCCAGGCATAAGATGTTGTCTTCATCAGGTTTCTATTACCATGACTAAACACCATGGGAGGAAAGGGTTTATTTCATCTTATATCTTACACCCCATCATCCAGGGAAGTCAAGTCAAAAACTCAAAGCAAGAACCTGGAGGCAAGAGTTGACACACAGGCCATGAGGAGTACTGCTTACTGAGTTGCTTCTCCTGGATTGCTCAGCCTCTTTTCTTGTACAAGATAGGATCCCCCAGCGGTGCCACCCACTGTGGGCTGGGCTCTCCCGTATTAATATTATGGAAGCATTTTCTCAGTTAAGATTTCTTCTTCCCAGATCTGTGTCAAGATCTGTGGCAAGTTGACAAAATACAAGCAGCACAAGCAACACTCAGTTTGCCGTTTTGCCTATGTACCTCAAACTTGTTCAGGACACATCAGCCCCCACCTCTGCAGATACATTCTAGTGCATATTTGAATGGAAACTGGATTCAAATCAAGGACTTGCTAAAGATTGCTAGCAAGAAGTAACTTGTCAGGTTGTTTGAAGTGGGCTGTTTGTGCAGCTCAATGCGGGTAGGCGTGTCCTAGGTTTCTGGGTGCATGGTCCAAGCCACAATTTTTGCTAGACATTTCCATCAAGTCCTTGCTTCTTTGAATACACTCAGGGACAGAAAGGTTTTCTTTCTGGTACAGAGATGATGGGATGTCAGCATGTAGGCAGCAAGAAAGAAGTTCATTCCCCTCTATGTCTCTCTGTTCATGTCTCTCTCTGTCTCTCCCTGTCTCTATCTCTGTCCTTTTGTATCTCTGTGTGTCTCTGTCAATGTCTCTGTCTCTCTGGCTGGCTGGCTGTGTGTCTGTCTCTGTCTGTCTATCTCTCTGTCTGTTTCTATCTCCCTTTTTCTCTGTCTGTCTGTCTCAGATTTCAAAGTCCCATGGTCACCTGAAGAAAGTTCTGAGTTGTGTGACCCTGCTCCCAGACCCTGCTCATGGAATTAGGACATAAGGGAGAGGAGGCCTGGCTCCCACTTTTCTATGTGGCCTCCAATGAGGGTAATTGGCCATGATGAGGCTTCCTGGAATAAGGGACTTCAATGCTGAGGCCACAGAACTCCTAGATAACTAAGGAGAAGTCAGACACCTGAAGGCCAAACACTCTGGAGTGAGTACCAATCCCCCAAGAGAGGAAGCCTCCTGGGAGTAAGGGTCCTTTATCAGCTCCCTTTCCCAGGGATGTACAAGCCCTTCATCCTCTCCCTTCCCCCAAGGATGTGCAGGGCCCCTCATCCTCTCCCTTCCCCAAGGAGGAATAGGTTTATTTCTCTTGCTAATACTGTGTGTCTGTATTTGGACTTGGCATATCCAACTGGGGAAGGAATATGCTTTTGTTTTCTTGGACGCCCACAGGAAGTTATGAATTCCTAATCTGGGACCAGTAGAGCACCAGCCCTTTCCAGCTCTTGAAGTTCAAGACTCTGCAGAGCCTGCAGGACAATGAGGCCTGGCATGTTCTTCCCGGGGTCTTGGCAAGCTCTGAGCTGCACTTCTCTGAGCATCCCAAACCTTACCACCTCTCACATATTGTCTTTTGTTTTCAGGCCCTTTACTGATAATCCTGGTGCTGCTGACTTGCTGAGCTCGTGGGGCCCGAACTGCTTCTGAGTCCTAATGTTAGACTCCCTCTCCTTCTGGAGGAAGGTGTGCCCCTTGATATCTGCTGGCCTTAGTCAGAAGGGGGGTGACTGTTGAGAAAGGGGAAAATATTTTCTTCTTTTTTCTGAATCTTCTGCTTCTTCCGAAACAAGGTTCTCGAACTTAAAAGCCAGGTAACCTTAACATTTTCATTTTTGTATTGGTCTATCCTAGGGTAATTAGCTCCAAAAACAATTAAGTCTTTGAGGAAGTTAGAGTTCATGCAGAGCTGGGGGTAAAGCTCAGTTGGTAGAATGATTGCCTCACACGCACAAAGCCCTGTGTTCTGTTCCCAAGCACTGCATACACTGTGTGAGGTGATGTTGAGACCCTGGCACTTAGGAAAGTAGAGGATCAGAAGTACAAGGTCATCCTAGGCTTCACAGCAAGTTCAAGGTCAGTCCGAGATACATAGCACTCTCTTTCCAAAAAGAAGGAGCCTAGTAGCTATTTGTTTTACTAGATCCTGTTGCCTGGCCTGCCATCCTAGATGACTCCTGGCTTATGAAGGCTCTTCTAGAAACAGACCAACTGCCCTCGTGCCCTGCCCTGACTGCAAGATATCAGCACCCTCTTGTGTGTGGCCTTCTGCTCTCTCTCTTGACTCTCCTTGTGTGTTGTTTTGGCCAAATGGCACAGCAGAGCTTCTAGTATTTTCCCTTTTCTTGCTCTTGGAGGACAAGAATGAGGTAGAGCCAGATGACCCTAGAATTCCTGTCACATCCTCTAGACCACCCAGCCTGTGACTGGCCAGAGGACAGGCAAACAAACTTAGCCAAGACCAGGAGAACTGCCCAGCTGAGCCGGCTTAAGTCTCTGACCCTTCTTACAATTAATATTGTGATATTAGGTTGTCGT